CTACTGCTGCTGCTACTGCTACTCCGCCACTAGTGCTGCTACTCCGCTACTGTTCCTGCGACGCATTCGGACTCCAAATTGTTGACCGTGAGAGAGTCTCGTTCGCAGGCAGTCGCCGACACAGGGGGCGAGATGCAGCGAGGTGCAGCGGCTGAAGAGGGCTTCACCCGCATATGCATATATATATATATATATATGTATATATATATATAGTACGAAGACATGCCGATCGATATTCGTTTTCTACCTCTGCCAACATGTCCACAGCTTTACGGCAGGTCCACCTTTTCGGGACCAAGTTCCCACTCTGTGGAATTGTGGCAACGCGAAAGCGCGGAAATTCAGTTGGAGAGTTGGTATAAGGGAAAGGCATGATACGCGGAAACAACAAGGAACGCCGACGTTGCAAGCCCAGGAACATTGAGTCTAGAACCCTAGCCGCTTGAAACGGAGAATCATATGTGCGCACTGGGAATCTACCCCCCAAACCGGTCTTCATGCGAGCAGTTCCATGTCATGTATTGTTTGTCCCGAATCCCGAACCTATCTTCTGTTGCAGAAATATGTTCCTAATTACCACCCTTGCAAACCCGTACGATCCTACTTAAGATGCTATTACAGGAACGCCCTTGTGTGTGTGTGTGTGCATGGCGAGGCTTACAATATGCAGAAAAAACGAGTTGTGTTTACATATACGTACGTACTTGTACGTACAAAGCACACATACGTGCAGACACACATTGGTTTCCTTCTCGTGGCAGTTCCAACGAACCTGCCTTCCTCTCCGCCCGACATCTCGCCATCTATTATCCGAATCTCTGTCTAGTTTATCTGTCTGTATGATCCTGTATGCATGGCCTGCCAACGTGCTACAGTCGAGTCGTATACGAGGGACAAGCATGACGATCGTTGTCTTCTGCTCAATGTACGCAGGGGTTTGAGTCTAGAGAGGCTTTTCACCTGCAGCCATTAGCCATGACCAGTGTGGAGCCGGCGTGGAAGCTCTCGTCACCCTTCGTCCCACAGGTGTCAGTCAGCACCTGTGACGGAGGTGATGGGCCAATCGGACGTGCGGTTTCAGATTCTACGTCGTGCAGTGAGGATGACTCCTCAACGAGGCAGCGGCGGCTTTGGGTTCGTGCCATGGACTCTCACTGGAAGCTGTCTCGCAAAGATTTCAAGCTACAGCAGGAGCTCAGCAGGACGTTGAAAAGCACGTTGTACCGTGCGAGCTGGCAGGGTGTCGATGTAGTGGTCAAATGTGCTGGCTTACACGATGAGGTTCAGTTCAAGCAGCTTCAGTCCCTTCAGAGTCCACAGACTTGCCCCGAAGGCTTGCCAAGCAACGCGGAAGGCAAGGAAATTACGGACGAACTCTTACACGAGATCGATCTTCTATCATCATTGCGGCATCCTGACCTAGTGATGTTCCTGGGGGCTTGCATCGATCAGCACTTGCCGATCATGTGCGTCACTGAGTATTTGCCTGGGGGTGACTTGGAGCGCTACTTCATGGCTCAGCGAAAGAGCCATGATGTGGTTGTTTGGCGTCCCGGGCTTCGTCAGGTGCTTGACTGGAGTTCTGCTGTCGGGCGCGCCCTAAACTTCCTTCACTGCCGTGATGTTGTCCATAGGGACCTAAAGCCCTTGAACCTGCTGCTGACGAAGCACTTGGAGATCAAGGTGTCCGATTTCGGCATCAGTCGCTTGATGGCACGTCGCGACGCCGAAGGATACTCCATGACAGGTGGAGTTGGAAGCTGGCGCTACATGGCTCCTGAAGTGTTGAGGCACCAAGCTTATGATGAGAAGGTGGATATCTATGCGTATGGCCTCATCATCTATTTCATGAGCTCTGGGAAGGCTCCTTTTCACCAGCTCGGTCTCGACCCAGAGGTGATTTTGCTTCAATATCGGGACGGGAAGGAGCCACGGCCTCTTGCAGCCGACTGCCACGCTCGCCTCCGCCCGATCATGACGGCGGCATGGCATGTCATTCCTGGCGAGCGCCCTACAGCTCAGGACATCGTGGAAAACTTGGACCTCGTTGCACGCAGCCCGGCATCATGTGGACCATGCGCTCAAATGTAACGCTGCTATTCCTCTTCGCTCATTTCCAAGCAACTTTGCGGACGGAGGTGCAGCAAAATCCGTTGCTCCAACTGCTCCGGCGAGCTGCTGACTGCAAGAGCCTATTGAGGGCCTATTGTAACATGTAGAATTCTTTCAATCTTCAACTTTTAACATCTCCGTGCATTGTGTAGCCGGTTGACTTTCTACTTAGCAATCACGCACGACCGATTTTCTAAAGCGTCCCTGAGTTCTTCAGTGGAGCCAGGGGTTCTCAACAGTGCCCGGCCCAAGCGCGCTTTGAGCCGTCCCCGCGACGAACAGACAGTTGCCCGCTAATTGGGCCATTGCGTCTGCGAGCATGGCAACCCACCCAGCTGTCCGAAGTTGTCCGAACATAGTTGAAACACTTTGTAGCTGTGCCGCGAGGACACGATAGATGTTTGGCAGCTTCGCAGGGTCTGTTTCCGCGTCAAATTCATGCGGTTTTGTTCCACTGCTTACCCAGCACAACAGGTTTGAAGAGGCTGGGGGCAGCACTGATATCATCGTGAACGTTCGATGCAGAACTCCTCGGGTGCCATTCGAGAGCCATTGGACGGTGCAAAAAATGCCGCCCACAAGCCAACTAAGCCTTTTTGCATTCCAGACTAGCAGCTAGTACTGAAACCGCTGCCTTCGAGGCACCGCCGCCGAACCAGTCACAGGGTCCTTGCCCCAGTTGAGTGAGTTGCCCTGCCTTTGGCATTCCCGGTCTCCGCGCACAGCCCAGACTGTCAGCTCAGGCTCGAAGACGTGGTCGTCGAAGGAAACGAAGGTGGGCGTTGACCTGCACATGCCTGCACGGTGCCAGGGGAACGGCCTGTGCAATGGAACGTCAGCGACAGCACATCAGAAGTTGCAGCAATTGCTCTCTACCGCTTTGCAGACTAAATCAATCCTCGAAGGTGCTGCAGGTAGAGAGACTCACTTCTCCCGTTTCGAAGGACAGGGCGGCGAGACAAGGTGCGAAGATCCGACTTCGAGCGGGAACGTACATATTACAATTACGATGAGAACGTGTAAGGTTTCCTGCCTGGCTGAGCATGGAATCGAATGGAGATTCATTGGCGAAAAATCAGACGAGCCTGCATCTTTCCGGTCTGTTGCCGTATCTTAAATATCCCAGCAGTTGATGGACTGTGAACCGATACTTCCAGCACTGAAAGGCCCTCGCAAGGGGTAGCCGCAACAGAAACCGTGCCGGCAGCAGCTCACAGCAAATGCACAGGCCGGCGGCTCGGGACCTTCAACAGATCGTTCCAGCGGCGTGGGGCCATGTGGATGGGGTTGTGGCGGCATTTTGCCAGACAGACTAGCAGTGACTAGCAGGCTCTCTCCATCAGAGTTTGCAAGTCACCTCGACAATACCCCTGATGCGTAAGTTCTGCCCTCAACGAGGCTTCCGGTCCTCGTCCAGCTCGTCTTCAGGCTTGGACAGCTTGGCTTGACTATGAGGGAATGCATCGCCGCAGGCTTCAAGCGGGCCTTGTAAGTCGTTTTTTTCCTATAGCCGGGCCGTCATGAGCAAAGCGTGATCCCGGAATCCCAGCCAGGTCGCCAGGTAGATGCTCAACCGGAAAGGGGCGAGAGCGAGTTTCCAGAAGCTGTCCACCGAGCTTCGGGGGGGGGAGAACTCCTGGGTCTTCGCAGCCTTCGCTGTAAACTTCCGCTGCAAACGGCTACAGTGGGACTTTGTGAGTGCGCGACTGCGCCCTCAACCTTGCCTTCGTTCCTCTATGAGACCTATTTATATGCACGGTTTCAATACCGCTCGAAATAACGGAAACCTAGCGATGTAGCATGATTGTTTGGTGCAGTCTCGCGACAAGAGTTGGTGACTGGGGCTCTCAGAATCTTGCGAGCCCAGGCCGCAGCAGAAAACCTTGAGATTCGCGTTGCCCGCATGGCGAAAGAGTCTGCTGAGGCCGCCTATCACTTGCAGAGATGTGATTGGGGAGAGTGATGGAGAATGTCAAAAGTTATTGTGCGCGCACGGAAAGATTTCCTTGGGTATGGAATGCCCTGGACAGTTGGGAATTCCTCGGAGCAGCCAAGATCCAAGGCAAGCTTAGCACGCCCAGCCCTCGCCAGGCGGACAAAGCAGAAGCTGTCGGAGCCTTGGTTCCTGGTGCTGTCAAACTGTTTCCGACAGCCTTGTGCTTCACCTGTCAAAAACCCTATCCTTGAAATCACCCAGGAACGGGCTCTCGCCGAGGAACGGTTGGCGCTGGAAACAAACTTGCAGGAGACCACAGCATACCACAGCCTTGCCTTTGTTTCAGACGGCAGCCTAGCATTCCCTTCGCCCTTGCCCCTGCCGGTTCACGTGGCTCTTGATCATGTTGAAATGTAGGGAGCAAACGGCCAGCATGCCTTCAACCGCACATGGCGATGGTGCATGGAGTTCCCGATCTGGCTGATATCTTCTTGAGCAGCTGGAGCATTTGCCAGTACCGCGTGGCTGTCGAGCGTGACCGGCAAGCTCAGCATGCAGTGCCCTCACTGGCGCTGGGGAAGTCAGGCTTAGCGCCAGTCATGCCAGGTATCATTCAAGTGTAAGCATTTTTTCACTGACTCTGCGCGTCTTCCTGCTGCAGTGAAGTGCAACAGAGGCTGCAGATGTGGCAGCCGCTGCGGAGGCTGAGGCGACTCTTTGCGTGATCTTGCGTCATCTCGGCCACAGATAGTTTATTGGGATGTCGATATGCGATATGCAGAGGGAAATGAAGCCAACCTCTGCGTGTTTAACCGTGTCTGCTCCCCCGGCCACGGAGCATAAGCGGAAGGTCAGCGATGCAACTCACAGCAACGAGCCTGAACAGCAATAACATTAATGACAGTTATCGGCAGCCTGTTGCTCACCGGGGGACAGCAGAGGCAGGCAGTTACACTGTAGCAGTGCACCAGGATGAGTTCGGGCAGAAAGCATGAGCCGCTCTATTCTCAAACCTCAGTCTCCATCCAGCGCACTTCACACAGAGGCTCGAGCAGAGGAGGAAGCGCGTCTTAAGGAGGCCTCGGGTTGTGCTGAGTTTCAGAATCGGACTTGAGGTGTTTGGTGGCGCTTTCTACTAAGTGAATTGGCCCCACCCCTTCAAACAATCAAGGGGCCGTCTGTCTACAGGAACCCCTCAACGGTGGTTGGATGTTTTGGGGCATTCTGTCCTTGAAGGGCGTGATCCGTAGCGCTGCTGGGCTCCATCGCTTCAGCACATTGCACACTGTTCGGGTAGTAGATTGACGTAGCAGTGGGTCACAGCGCAAGACCGGGTGTAACATTCTTCTGGATCATCATCGAGCGGTCGTCTTGAAATCTCTGTGGTACAGCTACCAGCAATAAACGGATCTGACCACGAGTAGACGAGCAAACATCATGGCGAACGAGCCGAAGGCGATTAACCAAGTCTCTTGGGCAGTCCCATGTTTATTCTTATCCGAAGCCGTCTTTGTCATTGTCCTGATCCAGACTGCAGAGTTGCAGTGGTCCTCTCCCATCATATCATCGCTCTCCCATACCAGGCGGTGCGTTCGGCCCGCGAGGCGCGAGAAGCTAAGGCGGGTGAGTGGGCAACGCCTGACAACGGCTGAGCAGGGCACCCAAGGCAAGCAACAACTGATTCAGAATGTGGCAGGTGCTGGCCGCGCAAAAAGATGCCGAAGAAGCAGTGGAAGAAGCCGGGCGTGTGAACGTTGCAAATGCCGTGGCTGCACTAGTCGTATGTCTGTGTTTAAAGTGTTCTGTCAATCATGGGCGCAGGAGTGAGGCAGCATGACTTCAGCAGGCACCATTGTTAGGTTGCTCAGAGCAATGTCATGAGCAGGCTGTGCAGCATTTCGAGAAAGTGGTCCAGGAGGAGGCCTGCACAAAGCGCGGTTCGCATGCAATATGCCAGCTAAAGGCTGCCGACACTGACGATGAACAACTCACTGCCAGGATTTCGCCAGTCTGTAACTGCGCACTCGCACTGAGCGTTGTTGCGACTGCAGAAACATAGCTGCAGCAACTGTGTGGCAAAGCCTGGTCAGGTGCGCTCCAAACTGGCCCCTTTCGAAAGTCGCCTTGCCGATGCGACTGCCGAGGGACCTGGCCGTTTCCACATCAACTGAAGCGGCAGGTTCACCATGGTCTCGCGTTGCTCTCACTGCTGTGACGAGCCTGTATGAGCATGTGGGGTCAGAGCTTAGACCCGTTGTTCTTCTTGACTCCTGTTCGGGTCAGTGAATTTACCTACCCTTGTCAGTTGTTTTGGCGACCTGTCACGGCAAGCTTTCCACCAAGCCCATGGGCTGCAACTGTTCACTTGATCGTGGATGTCACTAAGGAGGCGGCATCAAAGGCCGCCACAACTTACGCTGACCTGGTCCAGGATTGTACCGGGGGGGAGGGGCAGCCAGCGATTGTGTGCCTCCCAGCCAGATTTGACAACTGCTCCCTCGTTTTGCACAAGGCACAGGCATCACACGCAGGCCGCCAAAACTCGGAGTCAGAACTTGCATAATTCTTTCGCCAGCACAGATTTTTCACGTGCCATGCCAACATTGCCACATATTGCCACAGCTACATTGCAGACTCCACACGAACACTCCGGCGGCGACTTCCCGCGATTCCTCGCCATGGCCACCATGTCGCTGACTCCGACACTGGCCTCGGCCGCATGTTGGCAGGCTTCCTGCCCTGCAAAGGGCCATCGTCGCCTATGAGAGTCTTTCGCTGGTTTTTGTTTCAACCCCCTGTCAAGTTACCATGCATCTCGTAGCTGTAGCGGTTACAGGGTGAGTCCATTTGTTCTTGCAGGTCATTTAATACATGCGATGATCTGGCTTATGGATGCTCCTTCACACAGGAACTCTTGCACGTTCGGCTGTAAGCCGGAACCACAGTCATACACACACTTCATCCGAGCGAGAAATAACGCTGTATGCCTTGAAGCATGTTCACATGACTGCGAGGCATCTTTCTGGCTGGCCCGCGTCGCTGCCCCGCATTGGCTGCCGTATCTCGGCTTGCAACAACTCTGATACTCAGCATTTTGCCACATTACACACACACACACACATATATATATATATACATATATATATATATGTATATATATATATATATGTATTTATCAATGGGTTCCTATGTGTATTGATGTATTTGCATGTGTATAATATGTATATATATATGTGTATATATATGTATATATTTATTTATTTATCCGTTTGTGTATGTACATGTATATGTACATGTAAATGTATATGTATGTGTGTATATATATATACACATACTTACAGACGTACGTGCATACATTGGCATACATACATACATACATACATACATACATACATACATACCTTTGTATGTATGTATGTATGTATGTATGTATGTATGTATGCAGATATACACAAAACACACACGAAATTGCATATATATATATATATAGAAGCACAGGCTCCTAGGGTTCAACGGTGAGACGCTCATACCAGCATCAGTAGCGGGGCAACCAGGGGCAGGCCGCAGAACAACACACCATGAAAGATAGAAGGTATCTTAAGGAGCTGTACCGCTCAATCTGTTTCTCAAGTAGTCAACACTTTGCCGTCTCTTGCAAAGAGATGCATCTGGAAGCTTCCGCAGCCGCCACCTCGAGACAGTAGTTCATCGATTTGTTCCTTGTTTTGGGTCCCTTTCCGGTTGCAGCCAGAGGCGTGTTTCCACGTTTTCAATTGTCTCAGTTTCCGTGGCTCGAGTGCACATTCTGGTGTTCAGAGATGCGACGAAAAGTTTTAAGGCATTTCGGCAGTCTGGACTCAGCCAAAGGCCCCTTGCCTGCAGACAAAGCATGGTGTGAGCTAAGCAGCCCAGCCTCAGACCCAGGGAATTTGGGTTCTTCTTCTTGAGGCATGTATCAAAACGAATGATTGCGGATGGGCTCCCATCACCCCCCCCCATCTTCTCGGCCATACGACTTTGGACATCAGCACCATCACCACGCATTATCACTGCCGCCAGTCCACTGTGTGCCCAGGTGAAAAGGCATACTGGGCTGCCAGCTTTACAGGTCGCACACGGATCATGTGCGAGCCGGTCCTTTATAGTGCTGTCATGTGATGACGGCCACCTGTCAGTCGACCACACGTGAGCTGTGTAGGGAGCTAAAAAAAGGGGTTTGGTCAGCTGATTCAATGTGTCACCGTGTCTTCTGCCAGGTCTTCTCCACGCAGTGGTGCTAGTTGTTCTCTGCGTGATGGCTCTTTTCGACAAGCCGGACCTTCTCAGCTCGACGGATTTTTTCCAGGACACTCGTGCTGAAAGCAGGGTTGTGGGCATACCAGCGTACCGTGTGATTTGACGTCACCCCGAGATCACTGGGCCGCCCGAGAGTGCAGGAGACAGACATGACGCAGCTTTGTTGCCAGGTCTTCATGGGTGACGCGGCTTGTTGAACCAGTTTCTTTTCGTGGAAGATGTGCGTGCCGTAGAAAGGGAAGCAACATGCTGGAGCTAGGGCCGTTAGCACTTGTGCAACCAGTTCCATGAAATTCCATCCCAAGCTCCAGATCACGGGCATGGCTAGCGGCCATGTGGTTGGAAGGGCTACTAACCAGGCTACATCTTGCAGGACTTGTTCCTGTCCATCTATTTCGGGTCTGCCTGGCCCGGCTGGCAAGCAAATCTGTGACTTGTCCGCGCGAATTTCCGGGATCTTCGCTGAGGCCTGTGGCATATGTAGCGATCACTGTCGGGATGGCCCATCCGAGGCTCCATCATGTGCTGGTGCTGGTTGTTTGGTGCAGCGCTGAGTTTGTTCAGAGCAGGTTCCAGCTTCGCTCCCTTGTCGCCAGCCTGCAGTTTTCGCGGAGGTGGCAGCTCACAGCAGGCCGATATGCGCAAGGGCCAGCCACCGTCGTCATGCTGCCATTCGCCAGCAAGATCGCCTTGCCTGGTCTGCCAGAAGTGGTCAGTAGTTAGTCTGAGAACAAGGTACAGCTTCGGTAGCTTGTTTGGGAGACTCTGTGACGAACCGGGCCTGATGCTCGTATGTTCGTCAGCATGTGCCAGCTTCCCCTCTAGTCTTCTAGTCCAGGATCCCTGGAAGCCAACGACTGCCAAGGGAGCCATGCAGAGGTCAGGTTATGCATATCTGTCGGCCAGAAACCATCAATTTTAGTGCACCTGGAAGCCGATCCGATGCCTTCTCCTGAGGTGTGAGTTTTCGACCCCTTTTGTGGCCATGCGTTGGTTCCTGGACCGAGCCGGCATGAAATCGAGCTGCTTGGTTCATGTGCCACGGAACATGTCCCTCCTTGCCGATTGACACAGTTGGCCTTAAGCTTCTGGGGGAATAAAGAGCTATTGTCCTCCTTGTCTGTCACCTCTTGAACGCCGTATTGCCGCTGCAAAGTCTTTCGATAATCCATGAATCATGTTGTTTCGGCTGCCCGCAATGCACACCACGTCTTGGAAGGTAAGTTGTACATTGTCAACGGAGCAGCGAGCTTAGCATGTGAAGTGATTTGCACCTGCTGGTAGAGATCTGACGGGTAATGGTTTCTATTCACCGTCCTTCTGCCAGCCGGATACTGCGGCAGCATGCGCTAGTGGCTACGACCTCCTAATTTTGTGCTGTCGTCGAGTTTGCGAGAGGCAATCTAAGCGGTGGGAGACACGAATCCAAAGCAAACGCTGTCCTCTTAAACGGATTCCCCAGATGACCATGCTCGTCTCCTTCTTGGTTTTCCGTGCTGGGACCTCGGCATGTGCCGTCTGGGCCACACGGGTGCAAGTCTGTGCTTGTACCAGAACAGGAGAAAAATAGGGTTTCTCTATTGACTCTGTTGTTCCAGAGCTCAGGTCATCCTTTACAGCTACATGCTCGTCCGCATCTACCATATGCAGGATGGGCAACTAGTCTGCATTGTCGGTGTGACACTGCACCTCCGGTCGGTCTGCAACTTAGACCCTTCAAGTTCAGCTCCGAATCGTTGTTGATGCAGCTCGTAAGCGTGAGCATGAGACATGTCACGCCTGTAGTGGCCGGTGGAACAGCAAGTCGCCACCCAAACTGCTTGGGCCGTATTGCCTGGCCGTCTGCAGAGTGCATCATCCTTTGTGGCCCTCGCACACTACATTGCGCCTCAAGGCCTCATATTAATGTATTACATCAGCATGGCAGTCACCCAGGTTCTTGCGCATTCCAGCCCTGAATCGTTGCTTGTTCCTGCTGGGCTACTTCGGTGGAGTCTGAGCCTTAGCTTCAGGCAGGTGCCTTCGCATGTGCTCCGACAGCGATGGATACTAAGCCTATGAACAAACAATCGCCCGTCGCTTGCAGAGCAATTAGCAGGACGCAAGAAGCATTTTTCAATGAGCGAGCGTGGAGCGCATTGCCCAGCACTAACTTCCTAGCTGCTTCAGCATTGGAACGATCACTCCGGTATTGTCTTGACCGCCAAAATGCCGTTCACACGTCGTTTGGGCGTTTTGTCGTTAAGATGAAGCCATTTGACCGGTTGCCGGTTTGAAGCTCACTTGCCAGGCTGCTTTGCAGTATTTCTGGTTCTTCAAGATCGCTCGGGGGGCGTGCTGCACTCAGCGAGGGTCTAGTTGCAGCAAGCAGGTCTCTGTAGCTGGTAATCAGGAAGTTCTGGGTCCAGAGCCGATCCATCTGCTCAGCGCATCTTCGTACAGCTGCGTACTTGAGCTGCCAAGCCTTCGCGGTTTATGTCTTCCTGATCTTCGGCTCTCGGGTGTCCCTCATGTCATGTGTTAACATGATGGTTGTCGCAGCCCCACGTCGCCAGAAGCCTCGTCGTCATCGGGATCATGTTCCTTAGTATGGGTGCGTGTCAAACATGGTCACCCGCAGTCCCGGCATCACCGTCATCATCATCATCGTCGTCACTTTTTGCAGCTACAAAAACAAGCGTCTGCCCGTAGTTAAGTACAAGTGTTAATTATTGGCTCAGTGCGAGTATTACAGCAGTGTTTCCACGACGCTCTTCCTGCAGTCAACAATCTGTTTAGATGTAAGCAGGTGGAGGAAGAAACGAACACTGAGTTACAAGTAATGCACGAGCCCGATGTGTCGGGCTGGCTAGCAGCATCTCTAGACTGGATTGAGAGGTACTACATAGTCATGGGAGTTGATTTCAGGTTGGACGCGATGCAAAGCAGATCTGCCGTAGTCCACAACTGGGCCGGACTAGCGTCTGTCCAAGGTACAAGACACTGACTTCCGGCCTCTTGGTTGCACATCGGCGACATGTCTCGGTGCAGCCTGCAAGCAGTATCGATGGAAGCTGTAAAACATTGTCGAGTCGCGCCAATTTTTAAGCTGACATGGCTGCAGATGCTGCAAACAGTACAGCTGGAGTTTTTGCCTCACCTACCGGCTCTACCCCCAAAATCACCTGGTACGGGTAGTTAGCTGTGGAGGACATTGCCCGAGTCCAGGACCTCCTCACGACAATGCTGCGGCCAGCACGCCGCAGAAGTCGTTGAGCCAACATCGGCCACAGGCCAAAGAAGATGCTAAGGCGTGCGCAAGTGACACGGTGGCTTGGTGGCAGAGTTGTGTTTCTTTGCGTGCAAGTGCGCGCCTCCTGATAGCATCTTTTAACTCTCCGAAATGTGCATTGATCCCTCCACGCTAGGAGTGCATTAGTTCGGTGAGCTGTCTGTGCAAAGCCACTAATGCTTGTGGGCCTTCAGCATTCCATCCGGATGGCTGTTGTCAGCAGTGGGTCGCTGAGGCATCTACGACATCAAGTGAGCACAACTCCTCTGGAGAAAATGCAGATGAAACAGGCCGGCAATGTTTGGCTTCGTGTCTCGAGCCTCTGGTGAAGATGTCTACATGTTTCCACTTCGTCGCAGTTTGGCGGCTTACAGGTCGAGTCACGGGAATGCCTACAGGACTGGAAGTCTGCACGACGAGATCCTGGTTTGCTTCGCACAAGCCGATAAAGCATTGGTTAAAGCATAGATGGCTCGCTGGGGTTCGCTGGTCGGGCTCTCGTACTCTTTGCGCAGGTCAAAGAGGAGGGCGAATCCGACGAGGTTCTTTGGGCTTTGCGGCATTTCTTGCAGCTCACATTCGGCCCGGATTGCTGCAGATCCGCAGTGCTTCATAATTCATTCATAATTGGTAGTGGCAGGCAGAACTCGTGCGGTAACACACGGCAGCCAGGTGACGTTGGACCCATTCCAAATTCTCAAGACTATTCCACACACAGCACAACCTGTATTGCTGAACCTCGTAGAGTTCGGCAAAAGCCCAGCTCGTACTGCATCCGTTCAGCATTCTTGTGTCTGGTAATTCTGCGGCGACAAAGACTGCTGCGGATGTTGATTCAGCTAATGTACTGCATGACCAGGCAGAGCTGACAAGCCTGAGGCCGGGACGTGCCAGAGTAGCCTTCGCGTCGCAGAGTAGAATGTCTTGGTAGTAGAAGCGGTCGTGAATCTAGCAGGCATTTCACTGTCAGTAGACTCACAGAAACGATCATTGACTAATGTGAACTGTTGCCACACCAACCGCATGCCAGGGCTGAAGATATCTATAGAAATAATACTCAAGACGGTGGCCAGCACAGGCTTAGAGGCAAAGCAGTGAAAGGAAATAAAGTTCAAATGATGGTTTTCAACTGCAGGATCGCCCCAAAGAGCGACACTGTGGCGAGAGTAGGGTCGTACTTGCGAACGGCGAGAGCACAACGAGGCCACAAGTGGCAACCCTCCGACAGCGTGCGAACACACAAAACTGGAACAGCACTGTGACGAGAGCACCATGTCCGAACGTGGAACACTCCACCTCCCGTTACAGGTGCGGTATAGTGCGGTAACATGCGGTAATATTTGAGACTACGCCGAAGAGCCCGCGAGGCCCCCAGTAATGTGGCTTTGCCAGGACAACAGGGCCTTAAACCGAGAATGCCAGCGGCACTGAGTCGAAAGCGTGGTATAGGAAGTGGAGGGTGTGGCAGTTCAGTGTATTGTGATGAAAGTCGCGAGATGATTTTGGAGCTGAGCAAATGCCGCACCGTGCCATAGACAGGAGGGGAATCCACCTTGCCCTTGTCCTCAACATCGGAACCCCACTGTGTTGCCTCACTTTGGGATAATATAGCGATTTTCGCTGCGGCTGAGGATGCCAAGCTGAAGAGTCCGAAACAGACTGTTCGGTCATGGTGATGGCATCGGAAGTTCCAGGACTGAATGCCGGGCCTGGGCTGCGTCAAGGCCCGGGCTGGTGACTGACTGAAGGACTCTGTCCCCTGATGAGCTCAGACTCAGGTCGTGACGAGAGCTCTGCCAATTTTGAGAAAGATCCAATTTTGAGGCCCTTGAGGCCTTAGCTCAGCGAGGCTCAGTCTGCTTCGCACACGCTGTCAATGATCCTGTAGCACCTTACTGTACAGCCAATAAGCCCAGACACCCGCATGCGAGAGTCAGGTGTACAAGCCAGTTCGCCAAAGCAATCCTTCAGGGCCTGAATTGCCACTGCAATGCCTTGGCTCGTTTGTAGCATCAGGGTAAGTATGGCTAGGCTCGTGTCCCAGCACATGCATTCATCAGAGGACCCTCGGGTGCGAATGGACCTTTGATTGCGGGTTGTCCAGCATGCGCGCGACACCATAATATGGAATGTTCTGAATGCCATCTGGCACCGCTAGGAGTTTGCACGGCTGCACATTTATCGCTGATGGTGCCACAAATCGTGTGCTTCCAACTTATGAAGCAACAACTGTAGAAGGATGCACTTCCAGTCTGGTTCCACTGTGGCAGCCACATGGCGTCAATGTGCGCCGGAAGGGCATCGCTTGGGTTCGAAAGTCAGGGCTTGCATGCGCAAAAACGGCATGTACACCCAATGCTGCCGTTGATGCTCGACGTGTAGCTATTGCATTTGAAGATGCCGGGAGTTTGGAACACAAGTGGTTCTCCCAGGAGGCCATGGGCATTAATCGGTTGTGGTGAATCGTAGTGCTAGTTGAACTTGAGAGGGGCTGCTCAGCACTGTAAGTTTCTCGACCACCTACTGGGAGTTCGTTTACCCTGCCGCAAATCATGGCACAGACCAGTTTCCGTGGAGTCTGACTTGTGCGCGTCGTGCCATCATTGGAAAGATCACCCGTCCTTTGCGACAGATGAATAATAGCTGTGAAGCCTCATAGCTCATAACTTCTTGTCATGCCCTCTCCACTACAACTTCGCGAAGATGCGAAGTTGTCCTACTTGGGCCAAGCTCCAGGACAGGTTTGCCATCTTCTTCCTTCCTGCAGAGGGAAAATCGTTAAACTACGTTCTTTTCTACGAGTCTTCAACGAGCCGCGTGGGAAGGCGGATGCTTTCGGATTCATTCGAGAGGACATGGCGGTAGGCCCACTTTGACAGGCCGGCGCCGTGAAGAATATATATATATACACATGAAGTTACATATTATGTCTCTATATATATATATGTACAACCACGGCAATTGTTTTTTAAAGTTGCCACCAGTCCATTTTTTGCAGAATTTGACCGGAGCTTGCAACCCGGCTCGAATCGCTGTTTCGGCAGTGTGTAGGCAGAAAGGCTTGTCCTTAGGTCCTTATAGGTAAAGAATGCCCACTTCAGCACTTGTCGGGCCGGCGTTCTTTTGCAAGAGGACAGCTGCTTAAGGCCAAAACCAGCGCACGCAAAAGGAGCTTGGCCCATGCTGGGCGTCTCTAAATTGCCCCCCCCCCCCAGAGGTAAATGTGATAAGCGTGATGAAATAGGCGGGCGGGAATTTCGGTGAGGCATGAGGTTGACGCTTATGTAGCGATGTGGCACTAGCCGCTAGAATGAAATTTGCTAAGAAAAACCTCCCGCCTGCAATACATTGAATGTTGGGTCCAGCGAGACTGTGCAACACTGCGGTCCATTGTTTATCATCTGCCCATTCCTGAATGCTTCTTTAATCGCCTGTTGGTAAGTTTTTTTTGTTGTGGCAGTCCTCCACCGGTCCCTGTGGGCCCTGCAGCTTGCAGTTCCCGGCCAGTGCCACCCCATGCGGCTACTTGCTGCCGTTCTTACGGTCCCGAGAGCTTGTGGAAAGGGGGTTATGGGAAAGCCACAACTTGTAGCACTCACTCTCGCTTGCAATCCTCAGGTTTCGGATATTCGTAATGACATGCCTAAACTCGCCGAGAGAGAGAGAGAGAGAGAGAGAGAGAGAGGAGAGAGTGAAGGGAGGAGAGAAAGAGGAGAGAGAGAGGAGCGCGACTGCTTCTTAACGGTGCTGAAGAAGAGACGGGAGCACGAGGGGTGCGCGAATTCGTTTTGGCTGACTGCAAGGGAAGTAAGCTTCGATACTGGTTGCTTAGCTTAACAATAACTATTAAGTTATTCTAGTTGTAGGTTCCAATCCCTAAGCCATTTAAGCGACCCTTGAAAATCCCCCAAGTAAGCCGCAGTTGTACCGTGGTCTTGGCTGATCTAATGCAGTCTTTGGGTGCATCCGGGGCAAAATGCCTTCCGACATAGATATTTAGGATAGACTTAGAAGGTTTAATATTTGGAGGAGGAGATACCTCATCACGGCAACAGCAGTAAGACAATTGTATATTTGGTGCTTTCCACCGTTTCATGGAGCCCAAAGCCAATTGCGCTGCAAGCTGGTGACCTGACGGGCTTGGATCGCAGCGTTGTCGCTCCCGAGAGAAAGTCTATGAACGCAGTGCTTTGTATGTGTATGCATCGTGATTATGGGATGTGGTGTAAATTTGTAAATATCATTGTCCATTATGGTAGCAACAGTTAAGTTTACCACTATCATCACATTAGGATGACAGTGAGTATTCTCCCCGTTCAGATTCTCAAGGAAGCTGTCGAAGCTTCGTGCTCAGGATAAGACGTGCAGCAGCTTGAAAGCAGGTTGAAGCCCAAAAGCACCCACATCTTACTCAGGCGTGTCGCTATAAGGCGTTGCGACACAGCCCTGTGTTTTGTAGGGGGGGGCGCATTCACTGACGTCTATACTGGAGTCAATGTTGAAACTTGAAACTTGAAAACATACGTTTTCAAGGCCAGCCGTCGGAACACAACATGGACCCCAGAACCGACTTCGGCCTTTCGTCGGAAGTCGAAGCCATCGATTAGGACCCTCTTGGACCCTAAAGAGTAGAAGTACAAGCAGAGGGCTTTCGCCTTGAAGGTGCCGGCCTCGAAGAAACGCAGCAGGCCGGACACATCTTGGTGGAGTATGTCGCCGGAAGGCATGAAACTAAGAAATCGTGGACCGTCCGAATTTCAATGCAGGTCTTCGGACGTAGACCAGAACAGGGTGCCCAGGCCTCGGTCTGTCCTGTAGCATCCCGCCCTGAAGGGCTCAGCATGTCCCAGGCTAGCCGCCAAAGCAGCTGCTGCAGCCTTCAGCTCAAAGCAGGCGGTCAGACTTCGGACACCTTGATGTGTCGCAGGAAATTCCCGAGCCAAACCCATTTTCCCGAGTAGAGAAGCTGTTGATGCTGAATCAGGAGGCCTTGCTATTTCCCGCAGCTGCCAGCAATCATCTTGTGTGACCCCTAACAGCACACGCCTGCGCTCCAGAACTCAGCGTCGATGATGTGGAGCGTATCACTGTTGGCTTGAAGCGTAAGCCAAATATGGCCATGCGAAGAACCCCAGTCCGATCAACGTACGTGGAGGGCGCCTAGTTCACAAGAGCCAGCTCCATCATGCAGGGTCCCGGAACTCTCCCACCGTCCCCTTTAGAGCAGTGCATTGCGCGCTTCCAGTGTGCTTCCTTTCTCTGGAATTTTAGGGCCATTCAGGGCTAGTCCTGGTGAGCCATGGGGCGCTCAAGGTCGCGGTCGAGGCTCTCAGCGACATGACGTGGCCGGCAAGACTTGAGTGTCAGCAGCTATTCAGACAATTTTGCACAAGAATTCTTGGCCAGAATTTGGTTGGGGTTGCAATTGAAGCAGAAGCCAGTTTGGAAAGCCAGCTCTTGCGCAGGGATCGCAGGCGCAGCCCTTCACGCAGGAGCGCTGAAAAGATGAGATTTCAGCTTTCGGCCTTCGGGCTGCTGCCGTGCAAGGAGGCGAAGCCCGACTCCGCGAAGGCGGCGCAGTCCGACGCCCCGCCGACGCCGGAGCCCCACGCCTCGGCGCCGGAGCCCGGACCGCAGGCCCGACCGAAACTGGCTCCTGCGCTATACTGCCGTACCTATCAATATCCCTGCTTTCTGAGTATAAGGTTTTCCTGATGACATGAAAGAAGCGGAACTGCGACAAGCGATGCGCCTCCACAAAGATGTGACTCACCGACAACTCCCCTTGGATATGGACCCTTTGACAAGCATCACAGTCAGATGTCCAGGCGAACGAAAACTGAATACCAGGAAGTTGTCTGTCGGATATGCATGCAGCGTCTGGCAGGCGACGGTGCCTTGGCTTCAGCAAAGGCCCCGAAGCACTTTGCTGCGAACGGTAGCTGCACGAGAGCTCCGCAGGTCTCAATTTTGTTTGGTTTTATTGCTTTGACGTTCACATGTCACACCGTCGCACCTTTGTGCACCAGAAGTTTCGATGGCATCTTGGCTGGTTGACAATGTCGCACATGTGGGAAGCGGGTGCGGTTCGATAAATTTCTGAAACTATATATCCCATGGCCAGATTCGACGACAGGTAGCCGACACCGATAAACTTTGCATGTAGTCTACAAAAGCCCCCGAAGAGCATCAGATCGTCATGTGGAAACCGGTTTCTTTCAGCTCGAAACTGAGGAGCCCCTCCCGGCGGCGGAGCCCGCCAAGGCGGCATAAGCTGAGCGTCGATGAGCGTGTGAGCATGTTGTGAGCATATTACGCATGTACCCTCGTATACGACGAGGCTTTGAGGTAGCCTGGGTCACAGCGCAAGTAACTCTTTAGGAGTTTCGACCAGTTCGCCCCATTCGCTGGTTTCAGCCACCTCACTTATCCCCAAGGCAGACTTCACTTTGTCAACCTGCGTAAACATAGGCTGTTCTGACTCTGAGTTGCAACGTGCTTCGGCTATGTTTACTTGCGTTGTCACGGGTCATTCATAATCATAATAGTGTGCAACTTCTATTGACTTCCATAATACCCAGCGTGTCTCCTGTTTCCATCGGTCCAGCAGGCAGCTGTCTGTGGGAAACAGGGGTGCATCCAAATCTTCTCACTTCTAGGCGTTTTCCTGCTTACAGACATACCTGCAGAGTCTGGCTTGTCCGAGGGTTGCAAGACTCGAGTTCCTATAAGGTATTGCCGCAAGTTCGCTTCAAGGCTTCTGAGCAAGTAAAGTGGGACGCCCAAAGGAATGCCCTTGTTTTGTGATGAGCCCCAACGCGACTGTCAAAGACTGCTGCTATCAATATCCGGCAGCCTCCAGGCGACGCAGCCCCTCCAGGCGGGCGGGGAAGCCCCTCCAGGGTTTGAGGGTGTGACATATAAGCCCGTGTGCCATTCAGGATCCTGCCACCGGGCAGGGGTGGCTTGCCTAAACGTCCTCCCCAGATGTGCAGATCAAGTGTTCTGAGAGCAAACGTGACTGAATGCTCAGCGTAATTACTCGACAGCTGGCAGGAGGCGAAGCAACAAGAGGACTCCGGCGGATCTTGCATGCGGCACTGCAATCAAGATATGTTTCGTGCTTGTTCGATTCGTCGACTGTAACAATTTCCATCGTTTGACCCCGAATCCACGACTTGGAACTGGCAGGCATGTAGGCAATGTCGGCTTTCCACAGCAGAAGCTGGAGATGGGTCAACCACTTCCCGTCTACCCGAAGATTCGGTCCCCCCAAGAATGTTGCTCTCCTGGCTGAGTCGCAGCAGACTAGATGCAAAAGAAGTGAACATGCATAATCGAGCTGGCTCCTGGTGCTTGCTCGCTTGCATCCGTCTGAGACACTGGTAGGGCTGTTGAGGCTGCTGTTGCGTGGGTCACGATCGATGCATTTGCTGTCATTCCTTAGATTCTTAGCTCTTCCATCTCAGTACCCGCAAATGTTGGAAGGGTGGGCCATACCTCACACGAAGCATGAAGTCAAGTAAAGCATGATAAGTTGCGTTCCATGCCAGCTTCTGTCACCTGCGACGCCGTCAGAAGCACTGCACTTAGAGTACTTAGTACTTCCGCTGACCTTGGAAGGAAGGCGAGCTCCAGCAAAAGCAAGTCCAGGCCAGTTGCATCTCTGGGCTTGCAGGTCCAGCTGCCGGTAGGACTAAGCTGCGCGACGGCCGAGGGTCAGAAACGGCTAGGGCTTCGAGGGCAGCATCAAGTCGGGAAGGGCTCTTGTACTTCTCGAAATGTCAGTCGGGAAGCAGGTCACCGGCAAAGATAGAGAAGAGGAAGTCCATCGAAGAGCTCATTAAGGTATCACGGCCTGTGCAGTTTAACTGTGCGGCATTTCTTTCATGTGGGGCTGGTTCTTGCATGTCTCCGGCATACCGGATATTCGAGCTTGAAATTGCGCGGAGTGTCCGTGTTAAGGAAAGAAAAGAGCGGGAGAAGAACAACACACCAGAGGACATGGCATTTCCTGACTTCCACACTTGACTAGCAGAGCTCTTCCCGACTGGGGACATAGCACTGAGACCGTGACCCTGACCGGTATCCCGGGGCTACAGATCGAAGTTGACAAACTCGAACAGGCGATCGCCAAGCGAGAAGCCGAAGAGGCCGCCTCCAAAATCGCAGCGTTCAAGAAGAATGCCACCAGCTGCAATAGCCTCAATAGCCCGTCGAGTCTGCAACGGATGTTGGACTGCTGGCATCATGGATACGGGAGTGGAAGCTTTGTGTGGCTGTACACATCAGCTTTGGTAAGCCTGTAGCAACAAGAACCGTGCCTTCAGCCAAGATTGCTTTGGATGCTCAGAAGCTTCTAAAGGAGGAGGAGGTCCAGCGCTCGGCATGGTTGGTCCGAAAATCATTCATGAGTGTTCTGTCTAAATCGGCATGAAGTTGTGGATAGGTCAGTTTGGGGCTCCGCACTACATGGAGTGTTGTTCCTGAGAAGTAGACTCTAAGAAGAGTCTGTAGAAGACGGGCCTACTTCGTAAGCATCCTACTGAGAGGAGAAAAAGAAAAAGGAAGATGAGGAAAAGGAGGCATGCGGCATGCTCATTTCTCGGGGCACGCTTGATCACAGTCGAGATCGGTTGGAGCAGTGCAGAAGGGTTGGCAGTGCGCACCGTTGATAAAGCCCTGCTCCACAACTGTTGGTCTACTGTCCCGGGTCGATGGATGGAGTATTGTCGAGAAACTCGAAGAAGCAGGCCGCGAAGAAAAAGCAGTACTTGGACGACATTAAGGAAGCGCTGAGAGTCGTCAGTGGCTTGGCTGAGGCTCCGGTGGCGTGTCCCAGAAGCTTGCAGAGTGCACCCCGTCCGTCATGTCCAGTTTCAGAGCATTTATGCCTAACCTAGTCTGTGATGGCATGACCTCGAATCTAGCAAAGGCCAAGCCATTTTTGCCACTTCTCGCACTAGCATTCACTGTGTGATGCTGCTTGCTGCTATCACTCGCGCGGGCACTATGACGTCAGGTCAAGTCATCAAGTCACCTCGAGTTTTCCGGGTCTGTACAGTACCACGAAGTACACTACTACCGTTGCCCCTCCTCCCGTTGCCATTCGTGCGGATGTTCATGCGCTTGCCGCTAGCGTCCATGCCCTTGCGATCATTCTGATCCTGTGGTGGTCAGCGCTTGCCCTACCTTCTCCCTGCATGGTGTGGTGTGATTGCATGGTTACATGATACTGCTATGACGACTTACGTTGCAACTACGGTTTCGATGGCGATGGTACATTGTTCCGGGCATATAGACCAATTCTTTTGCGGAACCGTCTTGGTACTCTTGGTCAATCTTGGTCGAAAGCAAGATTGCCAGCAATCTTGGCCATCTTGCCCCACTTGCTTGTGGGCTACTTTACTTCTGAGACCAAGATTGACCAGGCTTGCTGGCAATCTTGCTCCCCCCCCAAAGTGAAGCAAGATGGGCAAGATGTCAAGATTGCTTTGACAAACTTGCTCAAGTAGTAGTAATGATTACCTGCATATCCTTACTTGCTGTAGTACACAAACTAAACACACCTTTGAGGCGAGTACCAGAAATATAGCCGCACAGCCACTACTACTGTCATTATCACCGTTTGCTGCTCGCGTCCTGATTTCCATTGCTGCTGCTGCTGCTTATTTTTCTTTTATTTGAGAGTGCTCTGCCTCCAGCAGTTACTGGTGGTAGTTCGCGATCTTCTTACTAACCTGTCTACGCAGCCGCTGTTGGGAGCATGGCTGCTGATGGCATTATGAAAGTTGCAGATCGTCGCGGGTGAATCTTTTCAGCCCTCAGAGACTCCCAATGTGCAGCAGATGCTGAGGAAAACTTGCTACTTCACCGGAGGAGGATCCTACTGGAGGCGCGGTTGTTTCACAGTCTTGTGTTGATATCATGTTCCACGAAGGCTTTAGGAAGGCCGGTCACTCCAAGTCGGTTGCGAGTCAGTGAAGCCGGCGTGCAGAAGCTTGGGCTTGGATGCTCGATAGACCAAACGTGCTTGGCAGTGCTTAGATGTTTTGTATGATCGTATGCATCGAAGAGGCAATCTGCCTTGGATCCTGTGTAGCGAAGGCCAACAGAACACACAAGCACCACTGCTAACATCTGCTAACTGCCACTTATACCAGGCGAGCTGATGAAAGCTGCGAAAGCGCGAGTTGCAGAATCCTTAGCTGCGGCTACCAAGGCATGCCGGCCGTCTGTAGAGAGGGAGAGGGGTTTCGCTTGGAGGTTGCGACTGGTGTAGACCTCACGTACTTACTGATTTCTGCCCGCTTAGTTGGAGCTCTGAGGTGGCCTTACTGGAAGGAAGGTGCCAGTAGGAAGGAGAAGCCCTAGGGACTCTAGCCGCTTGCTTCGGTGCTTCCGCCATCGTTTCAATAAGACCTTAGCCAGGCTGGGGTCGATCAGGAAGACATCGTGGCAGCCTCTCAGGCGCCAGCTGAGGAAGACGAGGAGACAGTTTCTAGGAATTCTCAGAACGGCACTGCAGAATTTCTTGCAGTTTTTGGTAGCGAAGAGAAATTTGTCACCGAGTTAGTTGATGTGCCTCTGCTGGGTGTGCCTTGGGAATTCTTCATTTGTGTTATGCAATGAACCGGAGGGGCTGTCAAAGATGTCATTGTTGTTATGGGTCTAGGGGCTTATAGTAGGCTTATAGTTTGGACAGGAGGAGCAAGACGAGCCCCAGACTCAGAGTCACTTGTTTTGCCAGGCACACTTGGGGCGCAGCATTGGGCCCTCGGCATTGGATGAAACTGTTGCGTCCTGAGGAAAGAAAAGGAAAAAGAGCAAAAGAAGATTACGAAGAAGGATCTCGGATCAGCAAGTTCCCGCGTTCGTGCTTAACTCATCCTGTGTTACCGGTGGCCATTTCTTTGCAACCGTGGGCTTGCATGTGTCGGAAGCTAGGGTTCGAGATGCGTCCCGCGTAATGGCTTGATCGTGCAAGGAGAAGAAGAAGATCGCCAAAGTCGCTTCTGCAGCTCGCCTTCATTTGTCTCAGGTAGGGGTTTGCCGAGGCTTGCGGCTTCGTTTTGCCGCTGTGTCGTCGGTATCGACATACCAGCTTGATATACCTGTTTTGCTCAACAGTTTCGTGTAGTAGTAACATCAGTGTTCAAGAAACATGCAGCACTGTCCCAGCGAAGATCCCTACTTCGGCGAGATGCATCGGGTGGGCCGGCAAACCGGTGCCTGACATTTTGTACTGGCTTGTTTCGTCACAGGCAGCAGTGGAGTAAAAGTTGTTCGTGCCTCTGTGCTTGCACCACACGGCCCAGGTTTCGAACGTTAAACCGGCATAAGACCAAGACCTCTCAATTTCTTGGCCGTGTTGGGCTTCACCCAGAAGCCTACAAGCCCGAGTGTCGTTAGCTGTGCGCCAGCAAAGGGAATCACATGAGATTTTCTCGCTGGAGGTAGCGGCAGCTCAAGCCAAGGAGGAGGCACTTACCGGTCGGCAGCCATGAAGCGTTCCGTCGATGGCCCCAAAGCTTGCTAACACGGTGTCGTTTCCGACATAACTTTCGATTTTAATGGCCTGTGTGAGCATCTGATCGTTCCTGCCTGCAGGGCAAATCGATTGCAGAAGTCGGCAAGGCTGCTACGCAGGCGGCGAAGGCCGCCAGTCTTAAAGTGCAGAGTCAGCTTTCGAGATTGCCATGTGGAGTTGATGATGTTGTCAGGCCTGGGGTGGCGATCCGCAAGACATCAAGCTTGCGGCTGCACCTCGTTCGGCAAGATGTGCTCCTCCTGGGTAGCAGCCTTGCTAGACTGGTGCAGTACCAACGGTTGCATGCGGAAGCAAAATGAATTAGCAGAATGCACTTCCAAGGAAACGGCCCTCAAGATTGCAAAGGGCAGCTTGGCAAATGTTGGAGTGCACAGCTCTAAACGACCAGTTACAGTCGCTACCACTGCACTCGTTCATGAGTCTGATGCAAGAGTCCGTTCTGCGCTGCCACAGGCGAAATCATCGTGGACCCCAAGAAAACTGAGGAGGAGTCCTCCTCAAGCAGCTCCAGCAGCTCGAGTTCTGCCGAAGAAGAGGAGGAACCCGGGCTGAAGTTTAACAAATGGCAGCAAGCATTGGAGGCTCTTGGTTTTGCCCAGGCTACTTGAGGGTGATGGGCTAGTTTCCAGTTGCTCTGCAGGATCTTGGCGAGATGGATCGCCACAAAGCCAAGATGGACGGAATGGCAGCGATCTATTATTGGGGCATGGGCCGCTGAGTTCTCAGGGCAGCCGAGCCGAAACTTGGAGGACTGCGGAATGATGGCCTTTGCATTGCAAGGCGTCGTGCAAAGGTGCAGATGTCACCAGCACAGATTCTTGCCTGGTAGTTTGAACATTTTCAGTCACAGGCAGGACTTGTGGAACGAAGGAAGACCTAAAGACTATCACCGTTTCGCTCACTCTTCTGCTTCGGCTGAGAATGACAAGAGTTGCCCAGGTTCCCATTGAACAGTGCTGTGCCGAAAAGCACGGCAGGATGTCTAGCAGTCTCCTCACGTAGACAGGGGGTCAAAGCAGTCCCGGCTTCGCCAGGCAGATTAGACACAAAGACCTGCAGGTAGAGGCCGTTCTGAGAGAACCGTCAGCAAGGGCAAAACACCTTTCTGCCTGCACCTCGCTTCACTGGCTTCACTCATTGATCCAAGAAGATTTGCAAAAGCATACAGCACATTGCTTCCAACTTGCCCCTTTTTCCCCTGAATATTCTTCGATTTGATTGCTGAAAGTCTCATCCCACATGCTTGGTTTTAACAGTTGCTGCTAGTGCGAAAGACTTAGACCAAAGTGCTGCTGCTGTTGGTGCCAGTAATTAGGGTTTCAATGACGACTTGTTCTTGGCTCCCTTGGTGATATCGCTTGATCCGTACATTACATTCCCTCGCATGATGTTTGCAGCAATTCTATTCTATTCATTAGAGAGGTAGCTTTGGGCTTTGGGCCCGTGCTAGCTTTGCGGCAGTAGTCATGTTTCCACCACGGTTTGTTGCTAATGTGGCTGCCGTGCTTCCGGTCTATGCTTTCTTGCTGGTACGGTTGCTTTTGTCATTGACTTGCAAAGTGCGCCAGCACAATCTGCGCAGAAGATGTCCCAGAAACCGTCCCAATGGTCCTAACGATGGCACCAGGCAGAAGCCAAGCGCGATGCATCTCAAGGAGGCCGAAGCAATACAATCAGCAGTATCAAGTTCATCATTCAACATGATGTGCTGTTTCGCTGGAACGGATTTCGGGGCGCCATAGCCGTCCTATTGCGACACTCGAAGGCAAACGGCAGAAGAAGAGAAGATGCCCGGCCCTCGAAAGCTGGACCATTGTCATCCAGTGTCACTACGTTGCATGGTGCGTGGGGAATGCCAATGAATGCTAGACTGCCGCTAGCTGCACTCGACTTTCAGCTTAGGGAATGGCTGAGGTGTTGCATCCGCCACTGGCTCCAGTGACGGCTAGGGGATGTGATTTAACCTGCTCACGGTCTCCACGGCAGAAGCGGCAAAAAAGGTTGCCTCACGCCGGATGCTGGTGTTGCGGCCTTCTACCTGTCATCCCTCCCTGAATCGGTCGACTTGCTGCTCGGAGTTCCAAAAGCCCGGCATATGCCCTGTCTGTTTATTCCTTGGTACATAAAGGGCAGATCCGGCATGTTGGTCCAACTGTTCTGAGCAGACTGGCTCCACTCATATACTGGTTCACACAAGTGCGGAGCACGCAAACGCCCGCGATAAACGCCATTGCAATGGTGCGCTGAAGCAGTCAGTAGGGAGCGATGAAGTGAACGGCAGAACAGCAGCACAGTCATGATCACACCGGAAGGTGAATTCGCCGATGTATGTACACAGCTACCTTTTGGCCATCGGAGTGCCTTTGTATGATTTGTATGTATTTATTTGCATCGCAGCGCTGGCGTGCCATGCGTCTGATGCGTCGCTGGCCGTTTGTCTGGGCCCCGATATCACGTTTCCAGGCGAAGACATAGTCAACTGAGTTTCTCAAAGTAGCTTCTCGAAGTTTCACACCAGGCGCAACTGTTTGCGACAATGCTTCGGTCCATGTGATGACGGAGCTCGGACTCGGACTTGCCTGAAACCGCACCCAAGGCCCAACCGGTCAATCCAAGCAGCCCCTGCTGAGCGCAAGCCGCAGGATGCTCCCGAGACTTCGAACCCTGGAAAAACCCTCTGCAGACACCGACACATACACACTCACACACACACACAGACAGAGACAGAGACAAACCGACGTGTAGGTCGGGAGGCAGGTCAGGTGGGGATGAGTGCAGCCACAGTCTCACACCAAGCCGAGAGGGGTGGAGCTTCCCACGGGAGGCGGCATTTACCGGTTTGCCTAAAGGCTAGTTCAGAGTCCGTCTACTGCCAACCGACGCCGGACCCTTCGCTTTCAGAAGAGCGGATGACCCGAGTGCTGAGTCGCTGGTTTGCGAGCTCGTAAGGGTTTAGGAGGGGTGTTCGCGGGGGTTCCACTCGGGGGAACACTCTTCTCCCTCCCCGAATAGGGTGGGTCAGACACTCGGACGTGCGCCTTGTGGGGTAGGCCTTCGGGTCAAAGGTTTTTCGGGGCCCTGCACCCCAAGCAATCAAGCAAGCATACACACCGACAGACAGACCCACAGACATGCAGACGCACAGACACAGAGACACACACGCACACACATCCACAGACACACACAAAACTAAAACAACAGCAAACATGCACTCACTCACTCACTCACTCACTCACTCACTCACTTACTTACTTACTTACTTACTTACTTACTTACTTAACTTACTTACTTACTTGCTTACTTACTTACTTACTTACTTACTTACTTACTTACTTACACACACGCGCACACACTTCCACCCCCCAACGGCAAAGTTACGCTTCCCCAGCTCCTGCACAAACACCCCGCCGATTGCTTGATTGATTCCTTCTGCAGTGCGGTAGTCTTAAACCCCAGACTCGAGGTCGCACTGAACTGAGCCAGCGAAGAACGTGCAACCACAATTCGAACAGAAACTGAGCTACCCAGCGGATTTCGACTTTCCACCCGAAGTGGCACCCCTTTGCCGCCAATAATGTATTCGCTGATTCCTTTCCTTCGCATCCGATCTCCAGCTCGGACTTACCCCCTGCCACACCCGCACCCCTAATCTGTGATGACCCCTGCGTTGAACTGAAAGGTACCGGTCCGCGACCAGTTGTCTTAGTTGTCCGGAACTGTGTCTCGATGCCAACCTCAAATACGAACTCACACAGCTTCCGGCCAGTTTCAGTCCGTCTTTTAGATGCACGAAGGTCTCCGTTCTGGCCGGGGCCGCTGTCCTGGCGGGCCGCGCGAATGCGGAATCCTCAGACTCAGCCAACATCACCAAGCTGAGTGGGGTGAGTCAATCTGATGATGAATGACATGCCCGCTTCATCACCTCGCTCTTCCGGTATTGGACTTGTGTTTCTTGTTGATCACTTCATCTTTGGTCCCGAGGCCGCGCATGACCAGCTGGATGCAGATGTTATTATCATGGGGGCAGGCTGAAAGTCAGTCTTTCTGATACATGATCTTGTTGCCTGTCAGTCGGGGCGGGTGAATTGACCTATGTGTATGCCTGTATGTACATACATGTGCAGATTGGTGGGCACGCATGTATGTATGCATGCATTATGTGTTTCTTCCTCTACATGCAGACTGCAGACACGTATGCATGCAAGCAAATTATATGTGTATGAAGGATGTGTGTATGTATGGATGGATGGATGGATGGATGGATGGATGGATGGATGGATGGATGTATGTATGTATGTATGTATGTATGTATGTATGTATGTATGCACTTTTGCCTGTATGTCTTTATGACTTGTTGCCTGTGTGTATGTACGTACGTATGCGTGTATGTACAGTCATGGGTAGCCTTTGCACCTCTCCATGATGCACCCCCACAAAGTAGTAAGCATGTCATGGGCGTCAGGAGGCGTCGCCAAAACTCAAAACCACGCTTGACAATACAAGGACTTACAAACACTTATAGGGCCTTATAGGGACTTATAAGGCTTTACCAAGACTTATTAGTGCTTAATAGAGCTTAATAAGCTTTAGTAAGGCTTAATCGTTTGGGGGGGCGCATGCCTGCCACAGCTCAGGCTTCAAGTTTGAAAGACGTATTGCCCAAGGTTGTGGACGCTGCTTATTAGGCCTTCATAAGCCTTATTAAGGCTTATTAGAACATACTAAGCCGAATTAGCAGTATCCATCTGCGGGGGCCCATTCTCGAGAGGCGCATAGTGGGCCCATGATACAGGTGTATTTGCTCGTGCGTGTATGTGTTTATTTGCTTGTGTAGTTAGGCACGCAGGTAGGTACGTAGGTATACGGAATGTATGTATGCATGATTAAGTATGTAGGTATGTGTGTATGTACGTGTTATGTTCGTGTGTGTGTGTGTATGCATGCATGACTGTGTTTGTGCGTGCACGTGTGAATGTATGAATGCATGTAAACGTTACTTACATCAAGAGCTTTTTGTCGTTCCTGCTGTACAAATGTGAATGCATACATATATGTGTAGGTCTGGGTATGTGTATGAGGGTATGTGAATACATACGCACGTGTATATCTATATGTGCAGCTTTTACAGATGGATATAAAGATGCTCCTGTGCCAGACCAAGTTTTTGGTTAGATAGGGTCTTCTTTTGCACAGGGTTTTCTGCTATAGTGGCTCTTCTGCCAGATACTGACAGAGTCTTCCGATCGACAGGGTCGTGTGTCAGTTGTCAGAGTTTTGCTTTCAAAACTGTTTGGCTAGCTTTGGCTAGGCGTGGTGTGAGATTTCATGCCGCGGGACCCCATGGCAGGTGTAACATAACGATAAGCCCAAAGAATCATTAACGATTTTTCAGCAAGCCAAGTCTGTAAGTGTGAATCATGTATGCAGAATATGTGAGTGTGTGTCTGTGCCGAGCGTTTGTGTGAGTCTGCTCCCGGTTCGACCGGGCCCTCACCCCCCCCCTCCCCCTCCAATGGTTGGTACCGGTTCGCGGTTTTGGTCGCCCTGGGTGTCCTCATCATCATCATCATCATGTTCCTTTCTTGGGTCAACAGCCACAGGAAGCGGGCCTGACAGGAACGCGATCCTGGTGACAGTTGCATTTTCAATACCTTCATGGCAGCGTCCTGGGGAAAGGTGTCCACTGTCGCAAGGATCGGGTGTGTTTGGGACAAGATCCTCGTGACAGTTGATGGTTTTGGAGCCGCCATGTGGGAGAAGGGGGGGTCGGCGAACCGAGAACCGAGGTCATGTATGTATGTACCGTGCGTCGGCATGCATGTACGCATGCATTCTTGTATGCACGCATGGATTTGCACATGCAGGTCTGCACGATGGAATGAACGAATGAAGGAAACATCAATGAATGACGGAACTAATGCATGAATATGATTGAGTGAGTGCATGCATGAATGAAATGAATAAATGGATGGGTGGATGAGTGAATGAATGGAATGGAATGAAATGATATGAAATGAAATGATATGAAATGAAATGAATGTATGAATGGAATGAGTGAATGAATAACATGGAAGGGAACGGAATGGCCCAATGGAGTGGAATGTGAACGAAGGAAGGAACGCGGGAATGAACTAACGAATGAATGAATGGCTTGTACATATGTATGTATGTACGTATGTATGTATGTACGTATGTACGTATGTACGCACACTTGTGTGTGTGTAAGTATGCATGTATGTGTGTCCACATGCATGTTTGCACGTGTAAGTTCATGCGTGTGTGTGTGTCCATGTGTATGTATGCATATGTGTATGTTGGTATGTGTGGAGCCGCATGTACATATGTGAACATGCAGCATGGCTATATTTCAAGAAGGCTCGCGTAGCTGGGCTTAAGTTTGGTCTTGCCTTAGCAGGGAGGCAGTCTCGATTTAGGAGGGGGGTGCGAGGTGTAACTTGAACGGTTCATGGAATTCCGCGGGGGGAGGTTGGGGGGCTAAATTGATATATCAGTAGCCGAGTTTTGTGGCAAAGCCAGTAAAGCTGAGCAGCTACAGAACTCATCCGCGGCTGCCTCCTCCACACAACTGCCTGGAAGCGTGGCTTCGGAACATTGACATACTACGGATTACGTGATACAAGCTTCCTCCTCCTGCGGCAGATGCTGCAGCTGCAGCTGCACCACGACCACCACCAACAACAACAGCAATAACAACAATCGCAGCAAGCAAAAAGCAACAAGCAGTGGCAACAACAACAACACCAACCAACAACCACGTTCGCGACCACGACCACGATCGCAACCACGTTCACAACAGCAACAGCAACAACCAGGACCACGACCACAACCACAAGCACAACCACAACAACAGCAACCACTGCAACAACCACAACAAGGACAACAACATCTCACACCACACAACAAGCATCACGCCACACACACACACAACACACACACACAACACACACAAAAACGAGCAACAAACAACAAACGGCAAACAACGACAAACAATAACAACAAACAACCATCAACACAAGCAACAACAAACAAAAACAAAAAACAACAAACAACCAACAACAAACAACAAACACACACCAACAACCAACAACCATCAGCAACACGCAACAACTAACAACACCAAACATCAACAAACTTCAACAAGCAACTGCGACCAGCAAACGCAAACAGCAAGCACGAACAACAACCAACACCAACCAACGGCAACGACGACAACAGCAATAACAGCAACTGCTGCAGGTACTGCGGCTGTGACTGGGACTGCTCCTACGTCTACTACCTATACTCCTACTCCTACTCCTACT